ACCTTTCGGAGGCGCAAAGAAAACGATTGCCAAGACTTTCGAGAAATCAACTCAAGGTCAATTTCAATTCTCTGCTGTATATGCCAAAAAAAGCCATGTTGGATTATATAACACGCCATTGTAATGTACGCAGATTACACAAGGTGGTGGACAATGCTATTGGAAAAGCCATATGTTGATTTTTAAAAGTCTTTGCCAATGTCCGAGCTTCCATGAAACAGAGCTCAAGGCATTCGAGAAATGGTCACTCCATACTATTTTGTTGCGAAGTACAAGCAAATCATCGCAACTCAAGATAAAGTTTGTTACTCTTTATAGTCGGCATTTGTGGCATTTTTGTAGGTGTCTTTCGCTGCAGCTTAACGAACCGTTGCAGCAAAGTACTGCTTCATAAACGGACCGAAACTAATCACGGTGAAAGTCAATGTCACCGTGCCATATCAAATGATAAAATAGATCCATCAGGAAGATAAGGGGATGTTGTGCCCAGTATAGGGGCGGATCCAGGATTGGCCGAAAGGGTTCCATGGAGTTTTTTTTCGACAGTCATTCTTCAAATGATAAAATAGATCCTACCGAAAGCAGATCCAACCGAATAAAAGGGGATATGGTCTTCGCGGCAGAGGTGGAACCAGGATTTATTAAAGGGATCCGGTAACTTTGTCTCAGATTCTGAAACAAAATTCTGGATTTAGCTCGTGATGCAATGATAATTATAAACCTTTAGGTCAGTCAGGAACCCCATGACTTTTACAAGCCGATCGCCTGTCTGATTATCAAGATATTTATGATTGGAATTACAAATTTTGAAAACCGTTCGCCTGACGGTTTTCATAACACTACAGTCTATTGGGGAAAACGAGTATGGTAAAACCGATCACTCAAAGATTTTTACTTTTTTTAGGCACTTCTTGATCATTTTGAAGCGCGATTTTTTTTAAGGCTTCAATATTACACCATATCACAGACACTGATAACCCGTAGGGCCGTGTATCTCAGACTTAACATTGCTAAACGATCCCTTTAATCGTGACACAACCATCTCCATTCTGACAAATAAATGAAAAAGGACAAAGGGAGATAGAAAGAAGAAAGGTTTTCGCATCATTTAAAGGGATCGTTTAACAGTGTTACATCTGAGATACACGGTCCTACGTGTTATCAGTGTCTGTGATATGGTGTAATATTGAAGCCCTAAAAAATTGCGCTTCAAAATGATCAAGAAGTGCCTCAAAACAGTAAAAAAAATCTTTTAGTGACCGGTTTTACCATACTCGTTTTCCCCAATAGACTGTGGTGTTATGAAAACCGTCAGGCGAACGGTTTTCAAAATTGGTAGTTCCAATCATAAATATCTTGATAATCAGACAGGCGATCGGCTTGTAAAAGTCATGGAGTCCTTGACTGACTTAAAGGTTTATAATTATCATTGCATCATGAGCTAAATCCAGAATTTTGTTTCAGAATCTGAGACAAAGTTACCGGATCCCTTTAAAGGCGTGTTATCTACACAAATTTTCGTAGAAAAAATATCAAATGATAAAATCTATTTTCACCCCTGAAATCTCTGAACATCCCTAATAACGATCTAAAACGAGACCAACGGCGTTGATGTCGTCAAAAATGCTGGTTCCTCTTATCTAAATCTCAATATGGTTAATCCCCTCCTATGCTTTATCGTAACATAATATGCACAATACAATATGCCCCATATGCAGTTTTGTCTTCAGAAATACCGTAAGTGCACTTATTGAAAGGTTGCTTCATGTATGATCTTCCGTGTACATGAACAACCCCTTTAACTGCCTCCCATTTTGTTTTATTAATGCCAAAGGTATATAGGCTTATGTGCACCCCCCCCCCCCCTCCCTTCATCCATGAATGGAGTACATTCATTACATCAGCCTCGACATACATGAATGGTGTTTAAAGGTTATTTTCCTAATAGTTCTATCGTTCCCTTAATGATGTTGGCGTCGTCATTTAGCAAGATCAAAACGTAATCATAGAGTACTGTCTACAGCTATACCTTCATCATTTTCTATGAGAGAGAGAGAGAGAGAGAGAGAGAGAGAGAGAGAGAGAGAGAGAGAATGTTAAACGAGACAAACCGAACTTTGTGAAAAATAATAATTGTCTTTTTTTCCTGAAATAACAAGACTTGGTTGTATCTTTTAGCGTCTGTTTGGCGCCTTGAGCAGTCTTTTAAAATGAAGATGGATATGTGCGCTTTCTAAGTTGACACTATCATTATTATTAGTAGTAGTATTATTACCCCTAGATTTGGCCACGATGCGTAAAAACTTCAAATATAAAATTAAGTACTTTTTCACAGAATCGAAATATGATAGAGAAACTATTCGAAATTTCGGAATAGTTGATTATATGTATATAGTAGTAAAGTTTTTGAGTGGATTAAAATTATAACAAAAGAAAGATTGTGAGCTGGCCTACGAAGTGAATTCACATATGGGTGGCATCAAAATTCTGTAAGTTTTAACTGTTACCTCTAGTTTAGATATGAGGGCATTTTATAAAGTAATCGTGTTTATTTAAACGAGGAATAAAGCTCAAAAACCATTGCCCACCACCTTCCCTAGAACTCTTCCCCTTTCTCCACTGAATGCTGCAGCAATACTCCTCTCAAAACTGTTTTTTTTAGGAGGGAGAATGTCACAAGTAGCTTACAGAAATTTGGGGTCAAATCATATTTTCTTCTCCTCTAAAAATAGGAAGATATGATAGATTTATGATAAGGGATTGGCTGACTACCCTTTAGCGACACTTTTGTCCATGATTTAGAGGAAAGCAGGTTAAGCAAGGTCATTATTAAACTCTACACCGTTGGTAGGCGGGTACTTTCGCTCCTTCATTCTCGCAACCTATCAGCAAGGATTGTGATATTCTGAGTAACACTTCATCTGTTTTCTCACTTAAACGTGACAAATGAAATCTTTGTCACATGCAAGAGCATTTCGCCATATTCATCCCGGTATATATTACACGCTGAGCGGCATCCTTAAAAGGCAAGGGGATGCTCATTCTAGAAAATAGTTAATTCAATTACCCCGAATGCTGTTTTTAAACCCACTCCAGGCACTGGTCTTTAAAGACAAGGTTGGGTTCTAGAAAAAGGTGCTGGAAAAATAATTTGTGAGCATTTTCATTCTTATTAGGTGTTGCGGAAGAATATCCTAGATTAAAAATGCCTCCCGGACAGGATTGCTCTTTAAATGTCCTCATATACAAAATATTGTAATGAATAGCTAAAGTGTTTGAAGCCAACTTCATACCACATGTGTGTTAAGTCCCATATACCCTCATCTAGAGGCAGTGCCTTTGACTTTCAGTATACGACTAAATCAATTCATTTTCATTCTGGTGATTCCAAAACCTACCAGTATATACACTAATGATGTGCTACAGTCATTAATGTGCCACATACAAATCAACACGTTTCCAATCGCTTTCAGACGGTTCCTTTCCCTCATGCGATCGCACGACCAGAACTCCACTTTAAAGATGTAGTAGCTTGTACCTGTAATTATTTCTTTCATCAGCTATGGATAGAATGAGACGCTAAAGAGTGCGATACGTGACTCTTTGACAGATGCCTGACAACATCTGTATCGTGTCTTCTAGTGAGACTCCTTACAAGAATAAACTGCATTATTCCACTTGACTTTCACAAGCGCTTGCATGCTTTGTTGTAATATGCCTGTTGCACGCGATGAGCTATTAATCTGACGCAACACTGCGTCAGCGACTGGCGGAGCCTTTGACGCGCCATAATTATGGGAGACTGAAATTGTACAAAAAGTACATTCGAAATGATCTGCGTAAACAATGCATCCTTTTCCTGACGTAGGACTACGCCAGCCACTGGCGCGGCTTCTGACCATAGACGTAATAGAAACTATTACGTCTATGTTCTGACGCAGCGTGTTAGATGAATACTGTGCAAAACATGAATGCAATGATCAGCGTTAACACTACATACTGTATTATGCCCGTGGCAAGCGTGGACACTGTACCGAGACACAGCCAGCGACATTGTCAATGAAACATATGAAATATGAAAATAATCTGAAACTGAAACTGAAACATGCCTGACATAGGACTGCTTTATCGAACGGAGCGGTTTTTTTGGCACGCCATGTGAGAGCGGCGTTGTGTAACGAATGAATGAAAAATTGACAGTGCAAACACAGCGGTGAAACACTGCCGTGCGCACCTATTTTCTTCAAAGGCTTGATTGTCGCAGCAAATAACGCTTTACTGGTACTTTCTGACGTCGAACCGGTCGCCAATGCATATTTAGTCTTGCGCTCACAATGTCCAGTATTCCCCAAGAATCTACTGCTTCAAATACAAAATAACTAATTTAAATCAGATCAATTGTTTTTTTAACTTTCATTGCTATCTAGTCAGCTCTACATCAAAATTAGCACAATGACTATACTCAAAGCAGTCCTAATGTTTGTCTGGTCATAATGACGTAAAATTGTGGACATTCAAACGTGTTTATTTCATAGAAAAGGATAGTATATCTAAGACCGCAGTTTTCCTCGGAACTTAAGACGTTCAAGTTGTTTGGATAAGAATTTTACTGGTAGGTTTTCTTCTCTACATGGAGATTATTTACTTTGCCTATTGCTTGTAAGGCTCTTAAAGACTAAATTGGAAAATGAAAACTGGCTTTTGAGGCCTTACTTGGATAATTTTTTTTTAAATCACATCTCCGTTGGGTGCGCATGCGCTGATCGAATAACAGGAACAAACACAGAAAGTGCGCATGCTGTGCACGTTTAATACACGCTTCTCGTCATAACAAACTTCGGATGTACATGTAATATACCCACGGGAATACACGATCGGCTGATCACAGACATGAACGACATGTAGTTCGCTGCACAGACACACACACACGCACGCACATACACGCACAAACGCACAAACGCACACGCACTCACACTAACGCACGCACACTATCGCACGCGCTCGCGCACGCCAATCAATTAATTTCTAGTAGTGTATGACGGAAACCGGGTCTAAAGTGAGAAAGCTCAGCCGCCTTCGCATTGCCGATTGATTGTTCGTCGAGTCTTGACTGCGTTCGCCTCTTGATCTTAGCAGACTTGTGCAAGAAAAGATCAAGGAAGGACTAGGAATTGACAACGTCCTGTTACAACCTTTTTATGTGTTTACAGTTTAACATCAAAGACGCACCAGCCGTGTGAGCTGACAAATCTCCTTCTCGAGTTACTACTAAAAAGCTTCCGAAGATAGAACCTTGATTGCCAGCATTCAATCTATGGTTGAAACTTGGACAATGTGTGGTGTGAAACCTAGGAAGAGAGAAGTTTTAACATCACTGTTCACTTAATTCTATAAGTTTCACATTGATTCAATAAGTGGTCTGGCAGTTGTCTCATTCCTTTTCGAATTATTGGTTCCGCCTATCCAAGTCAACACAAAAGGTTCCAAGTATTGTCATTTTTTTCTTTGTCGATGTTGATGTGTAGTTTCATCCTTTTCTGACGTGGGATTCCATTTGGTTATTAATTCAACTGATGTTGCTTTGATGAGAACTGTTTTATCTTTCATCGCGGCAGGACGGGATTTTACGAAGGACAGTCCGCCGCTCATCAATGGATTTAACATGACTAAACGATGTCATGCACCAAAACAGATTTAGACCCGCCGAAAACAAAACTGTGAAGGCTTAACCTTTATAACCAACAAGTTCAAAAGAATATGTGAAAACGGATGCATGCTATGACAACAACGGGAAATATTGGTTCGCGGCTCAATAAACAATCAAGAAGGAATAACTAGCGAGCAGTGAGAGTGAGGTGAAGGCTTCTGCAAATGACATGACTGGTGGAAGTTTCGTTTACATCGCGAAAAAAAACCATATTATCTTTAAGGTCAAATATTTCTTTTTGTGAGGCGACCTGACTGTTCGCAACAAAGGTATCTGGAAATACCATCCCGGAGAGAAATATGACGCGATTAGCAGATTTCTACTTGTGACAACTCTCCTCAAACGCGAACAGGGTACGCCCTTATCAAAGGGTCTGATCAACTAATTGGGGTTGGACTCCGAGTTCAACTTAAGCCATATCACAGACCATTATACTTTAAATTGCGGTACTCTGGTCATTAAAAGTTGACCAGAGATTTTGAATATCATAAGACGACCGATTTCGATTCAGAGATTTGATGTGAGGTAAAAATAGTCAATATGGAATGCAAAATGTTCAGCGCTCACAGATCTTATCAGGTTTATGAGAGAACAAGAGAGCCATTTCTTGCAATGCTCACTATCTGGAGAACTTCATTGATATTGATGGTTATGGGATGGTTTATTGTTTCCAGTGACGCGTTTAATACGGATGTGTCTTCACCGATTATTCGGCACGGCCCCGAGGGAAGCTACTTTGGATATTCACTTACCATGCATCGAGAAATGGGAGAAAACATGTAAGTTGAATATAATTATGTGTGTGGTGGTTATTTTACCTGGCTGCTAAGAAGGCATAAATGGGTGTTAGTAAGCAACCAGACGACCGACGGCTTTAGGTCCTCTCCGAGGGACCTGGTAATGGGGATTAATGCCTTACCAAAGGACACTAGCGCATCGACTTGGTTTCGAACCCGGGTCGCCAGATTACGAGACCACTGCTCTGCCAACTGAGCTATCGCGCCTATTAATATAATTATACATTTCTTTCGTTGGGGGGGGGGGGGGACATTATTAGTCGTTTTATCGGGGGTTATTGATTGCTTGTTATTTTGTGTTAGAGGTGGGGGTAATTAATGTTTGTTCTTTGTGGTGGTGATTGTGTGTTGTGTATGTAATGTATTAGACGAGTGCCGATTGTTAGTGAGTTAAGTCAAGGAGTGAGGATCCTTGTTTGAGTCAAGAACCAGAGGTTTATTAAACAAGCCACGGAATAGAGGGCCCATGATAATGACTATGTTCTATGTAGCAGAACTTATTGTCGGTTCATGGTCCGGTTCAGATTTTCATTGCGACGAGCCGTCGGACTGCGAACATTTTCTTTTTACAATGCATTAAAGGTATCTGGTAACTTTGTCTCAGATCCTGGAACAAAATCCGGGATTTAGCTCATGCTGCAATGATAATTATATTATACAATTCCATTTATCATTTTTATCTAATCCTACCTAGTTTAAAAAACAACGTACATATTTTATGAACCAAGCTAAATGAAAATAACTTATTTCAACAACAAATGTGATTTAAAATTATCAGTGAAAGTGAGAATCAGAATCACTCCATTGCAAATTTAGGAATTTTAGTAAGTATTCACAATTGAATCGTTTTCATGTATGAATGTCACAATATATGCCTACTGCATTTTTTAAAATCATTAATTGTTTGATTTGTACTCTTTGTGCTAATGTGTAATATTGAATTTCTAGATGAAATATAATAAGCTATGTATCTCAAAAGGAGACTCACTGAACTATTATGGGTTAAGCATTTAAGTTACACAGCGCAAAAAATGTATAGATGTAATTTTGAAATAGAACCATATTGATATAGAGAACCTGACAAATATAGCAATACAGTATCCTATTGACACAATAACAGGCGATGATAAGAATTAGAACAAAAACAATGTATACAAGGAGCAAGGATAAGACGAGACTAACTCGTCATTGACATGTTTTCTTTAAGGAAATCATCGGGATTTGGCTTTTGGAAAAAAGTCATAGAATCGAGGGAAACTTGCACTGACTTTCCTCAATCGCAACTAAGTGCTATCTGCTAAACAATGTGGGGTTGCGATTCGAGTCCCAGTTAGGACAGATGGGCGTAAGCCCCGGCAGTGAATTATTTAGTAGGTTCATTAAGCATCAAATTATGATAATAATCATCATCATCATCATCATTGTTATTACATTTTTTCTATTCATTCATGTTTAATGAGGTCAAGTATTCTCTCATTACGCAATAGTATTTGGTTAAAGCTAATTTTTGTTCTAGCTTAATGATTAGTTGGTAAAATGATTTGTAAATCTAAAGGCGAATATTGAACGTAACATAGGCCTTCTTAACTCAATTATAAATTACCTGTAACTCATACACACTGCCCTAGAAAATGAAAGACTTTATTAGATTCATAAATATAGCAACATGACGAATTGACAAATTGACACAACATGATGAAGTGTTATTTCTTTAAAGATCACGCATTAAAGTAGTCATCTCGTGAATAAAGAGGCACGTGTCTCACACTGTTCTGATATCATAACGGATCCCTTTAGAACTCAAGTTCTAAGAAATCGAAGTGGTGGGAAGTGTTGAAAAATGATAAGGGATCCAGTCAGTCTTGCTGAAAGTCACATGCACTGTACACAAAAATGTGTATTTATGGGACTACACAAACATTTGGCGTGAAATCGTGGTCTACTTACTTCAGCTATTTCTTGTCAATTTTTTAATAGGAAAGCATCTAAGAGACATTCTTTTCAACGGACATTTTCTAAACGATATTCTTGCACATTAACGTCAGAAGAACGAAAAAGCTCACAAATTATTTTGAATCTTTCCCAGAACACAACTTTCACTTTAAACATTCACAGTAAGTGGCTGGTATGTTGTCTCAACGACGGAGGCAAGCGGTATTTTTTATAACAAACTTCCCATTCTAGTTTCCGTTATCTGGGAGAGTCTTTAATAATGACAAAAGGATGAGGGAAGAGATGTAAAGGGAGAAAAGACAATTTAAACACTTGAGCATTAATTGGCATGATAATAATGTTTATGTTTAGAAGCGTTTTGGGTGTGTGCGTTTGCATTTTATTAAAGTAAAGAAAAAAAAAATCGATATTTCGTTTAACATTATAATTCCGTTGAAACTAAGTACTGATCATTAGGTGTTTTCTCACATTTCGTTGGGTTTCATGCAGATTTTAGATTATACCTTGTAATTATCTTGAATCTCTCGGATGTCGTTCAAAACCCAAGACCTTCTGTAGTTGTCAAGTTATCCTCATGCAATTTTAAACTGTAGTTATTCTTTCTCCTTACTCATGTTAAAAATGATATATTATGAGAGGTCGAACAACTGTTAAAGACTTGTTAAGTCTATCAAACATTATTTCCCCTGTTGTTTCGCTCGTAATCTAAATGCCTTGAAATTCAAGATAAAGGAAGAGACTTAAAGGGAATAAAGAAGCTTTAAACACTTAAGTGTTAATTGGCACACCGGTTCCGCTTTATCGTACAGAACACTACAGGATGGTATATTGACGTGAGAGACGAGATCATAAGCTTTCAGGGGAGTGTTTCACAAAGATCCTAAGTAGAACTTAACACTAAGTTGGACTTAAAAAGTATGGACAGCCATTGGAGCCTTAAAATGAAATATATTCAAAAGCAAAAATTGGAGTATTTTAGACTTTTCATCAATTCCACATCAAGAACATGAAATCTCCCATGATAATAGAAAATATGAATGACTTGAATCAACATTTTATGCCTTCTAAAAAAAAAATTACAAAATGTTTTCAAGGATTCTAATGGCTTCCCATAAATTTTAAGTCCAACTTAGAGATAAGTTCAACTTAGGATCTTTGTGAAACACCCCCCTGGACTTGGGATATTTTCGAATCAATTAATCATAGATCTTAATAGGATAGGACCCTCAATTACAACATGTAATTATATTGTTGAGTTGATTCGTGACAATCCATCGTCTACCAAACTTGGAAAAAACAACCTTAACTTGGTTATGAGGTATTTGTAATTGGACTTCAATCATTGTTACAAATTGATTTACCGTATGCTCATTGATCTGATAAAATCAGTTTCAATGTCATGTTGATTACTGATGTGCAAGTATCACGGAAGGTCTTTCAACCCGTAGGTAACAACAAACATGGTTTACCCAAAAGTACACTTTCTCTCATAACCATGCTTTTCTGTATACGTATAAACAAAGTCATTCCCCATTTATTGAATAGACATCATAATGTTTCAGGGCGGCTCTTAAATACTTTTTAAACATCTATAGGGAAACAATTTTGTCGGTTTTTATATGTGTTTTTATAAAGTTATACCAACCAATTTTTGGTTTTGTATGCGTGTTTATATAAGGTTATACCATCTAATCATGGAAGATTTACTTAAATATGAAGTTGAGTTCTTGTCATGCGATTGCATTGTGAAAGAAACGGTGTGGAATCGATCAGAAAAGGTTGATCATCTAGCATATAAGAATTTGTGTGCATTGCAAGGTTCTGGAATCATCAAAATGATAAGAAATTTGGCCAAGTCTTGGTAAAGTTACAAACACTGTACACAGAAAGATGTATATGGGACTACACGAACACGTGGCGTAAAAAGCCCCCCCCCCCCCCCGATTTTTACGATGTTACATGCATATTTAGAATATGAAGGCATTTGAAGAGCCATGCTTTTCAGGGAACATGTCTTATCTGATGTTCTTCCACACTTGCATAATAAGAATGAGTAACGCTCACAAATTAATTTTCACCTCTTCCCAGAAATCAACCTTCTCTTTAATGCGCTTATTTCGTGATCCTTTCTTTCATTTGCTCTCCATATTAACATTTTTTTTTAGTCGTTTGCCTAATAATTGTTTTCATAGTGATTTCTTTGTTTTTTCTTGAACTATGAAATAATAATTCTTGATATCAAATCCGTCGTTGTATATGGCATTCGATATTCTTTTACATATACGTGGCTGTATAACATAAGTAGGTGTGATGGTTTGTTTGTTTAACATAACTTCTAGGAAATCATTTGTATGCTTGCAATTAACCATGCTCATGACCGATTGCTTCAAGTCCTCTACGAAGGACTTGGTAATGAGGATCAATGCATGATTAACAAAGTACCGAAAGCGCATCACCTTAATTGCGAACCCGGGACCTCCCGGTTACGAGCCCACTGCTCTACCAGTACCACTCAGGCATGGTGGCTCCTCTGATGTTGGTGCATTTCAAAGAGACCTGTGTTTCAATGTCCTGATTCAATTCCAAACGGATGAGCATTTGTTATCATGAAAGGCCCTTTGATAGTGGCTTAAGATGATTGTGATTGGTTGCCAGTAATTCTATAGAAACTTGCCACTTATAGCACTTAATCTACTTTTTTGTTCAAACGAAGTGGCAATTGTCACTTGATACCATTTCCATTAATTAAATGCGGCCACACCCGTTTTCTTTTTTTAGCAATGATGCAAAGTGAAGCTTTAGAAAGTGATATCATATCCATAAATGACCTGAAGATACTCATTCTATTCGTAAGAAATGGAAAATAATTAAATTATGAGTTTCTGTAACCTTCGCACTGTGTGTGGTAAAAGCATAATGATTATGTACGTCATCAGAACGAGGAAAGGAAACGCAAAATGAAAAGTGACGCACTTATCGCTCGTCGTCACTTTCCGTTCCTATATTCGTTGAGCATCGGCGAGGTGAGA